TACACATACAAATAAGATAATTTAATTTATTTTAAATAAACTCGATGTTTCGAATGCTTAACATAAGCTATCACGAGAGCATATATCACGATCCACGACGACGAGTATATAGTTGTTGTTTTAATCAGTTTAAATGCTCTTTTTTATGTTTATCACGTAAAATACAGATACTAAGCACTCTTTCATTTTATGTAAGCTCTCGAGCTTACATGTGAGAACTATAAAGATTCAAAAGTAATACGTAAGTTAATTTCCCAAAAGATCCAACCACTCTATCACTATTCGAACCGAATATAATTCTTTAAGAGCCTCTAAAGCTAAGCTTTATCGTAGAAAGGAATTCCACCTAAAATACGTTCCAGTATGTTCAAGTAATAAAATTTTATGGCTAACTGTATTAAGGCGATATTGAAAACAGCTTTAAACATCGAACAACTTCGATAGTTTGAACTAGCCGGCTTTTCTATTAGGATTTTCGTGGGAATGTTAAATAAAATATTCTGAGCGAATCTTTGAGCACGAGTTTTGCATTATTTGTAGTAAAATAATAAAACAACGGCAATACATTTGGTCTTTAAACTTGCCTATTAAAATGGTTGATATATTTAAACTGTCTATGTTTACGCGTAGTGCACATTTAAATAAAACACTGTTAACGGTTTAAAGCGAACGATATATTAGTTAAACTTACTTTGAAAATGCAGCAGCCGTCTCCCCGTGACCACGGCTGCTGCAAAACATCCGAAACGTCGGGCCGAAGTTAAAAATCATTTTCAAATAAGTTTAACTAATATATCGCGTTTTAAACCGCTAAAGTGTTTTATTTAAATGGTTGAATTAGTTGTCGTGAACTTGGATTAATTGTTAAGCCCTTAAGCAAACATATATATTTGTTATCGTAATTCCCGTTCTTAAACAATTAGTAGGATGTTGTGTTTAGTTATCATTTCACACTAAACTTGTATAAATTTAAGTTACTATGAACGTCTTGAGATTCGAAAATGATGGACCAAAACTGATCCGTTGATTGATGAATCCGTTCCCTCCTGTGGGGCATGTGGCAAATACATTTCTGTATTTGCAAACTTCATACAAAACTTTGGGCACAAAATAAAACAATATATTGTTCCCCGGGTTTCGAACCCAAGGCGAGTTCGAATTACGCAGTTCGAAACTCGCGCTTAACGTTGAGTGTTATAACGCTTTACCTACCATAACGAACGCTATAATTTTCTATTCTCTCTATCTTAGAAGAAGAGTCATGAAAATAGTGCCAAACCTTGGGGAGTAGCTAGTATGATACATTAGGAATAAAGTGAGGTAGTTCCTTATACAGGTATGTATGTGGGTCGGAAGTCAAATGTAAATGAAAGAAGGGTCGAATCCGTAACTTATCAGTTCGCGTAGCCTCGCCTAACTTCGGTGGACAGCCACTGAATACTTTATCCACTCAACTTATACAAATTGTTTATTGTGTTCGACTTAGGGCTGTATTTTCCGGGCCGAGGTTCACTTTGTGGGGGGAAAAACCCCAGCCAATTTTTAGAAATAAGTGACCAAACATTATGATTCAAAAAGTCGACGCATTGATTTAATATTTTGAATATAATATGTTTTGTCTATTGTTGTTTTGTTGAGTTTCTTAATTTTAATATGGTGGTAATTGTTTTCCGTTCCTAGAATCTCTTCATCAACATGTCAAATTTTATTTTAGGCAGATCTTCAAGTTCAAGTTGACTTAACTATCATTAGATATCGTTTATGTAGGAGTATATAAGAATGTTTATAAATACTGTCTGTAGTTTACGCCAGTAGTACAAATTTAATTTTCAAATAAGTTTAACTATTTAAATAAAACACTTTAACGGTTTAAAACGCGATATATTAGTTAAACTTATTTGTAAATGTTTCTTCTAAAATTAAATTATACTCAAACAGAAAACTGTATTAAGGTAATTGCATGACGAAATGTTATCCATATTTTTAAGTTTATTTTTTATTATTTAAAACTTAGTATATAATAACTTTATAAGACATAGTAGATATTCTTAGTTTTTTCGGCCAATTGTCCATTTCTGTAGAAATGCACCGTAAACTCTAAAGCCGCCCACGACACAGGGAATCCTAGTGTTGGGGCAATCTTAACACCCTGTAACTGATATTTACACAGTTTTGGTGAATAAAGAATTTGTATTTGTATTTGTATAAAAATTGACATATAAATAAAACACTTTTAACGGTTTAAAACGCGAAATATATAGTTAACCTATACGACAAAACAGATCTTCAGTTCCCCTTGACCAGGGCTGCGCTAAAGCATCCGAATCGTCAAGCCGTAGTTAAAATAAGTTAATTAATACATTTCGTATTAAAACTGTTTTATTTAGATGTGTACCAGTCTTGTTAACTACAGACTAAGACAAAAAAAATATCTAGACATAGGCGTACGTAATATTAAATAGTTGTTCCGCTTTCTGTCAAATTTCGTGCGAACAAAGCTCGAAAACAGCAGCGAATAAATAGAGACGGAATTGCTTTTCTGACCGACTCCCGCATTGAGCGAACCACAAACATTAGTTCCTAAACATTTCCTTTTGTTCTGGAACTTTGCTAAAACACTCATTAGTTCCAACTGATTAATAGGAACCAGAAATGTCCTGACTAACGCTACTGCGGTACGCTGTAATTAGACGTAACAAACTCAATATTTTCGTGCAATTCGCCCTTCTTTTAAAGACGGAAGAGGACAGACAAGCACGGGGTTTCATTTGTACCCTAGCTATATAACATCTTGGTTAGAATCACTGCCCACCTATTTTGGCTTTAGATATTCATAGACCCACAGACTGACAAAACGCAATTAAACTTCACGGTGTTTTCGTCTGCGGTCGGTAGTTCGTGACCGGATGAAATGCGATATTCCTACCACCCATTTTATTCATCCCAGGTGAAGAAAATTATAAATAGTTAACATCTTGGACCTGATGGGATTGAACCCGTGACATGCCATACATTGCTATCATTACACCAATGAGCCAACGCAGAGTTTTCATTTACTAAATTTCTTATGGTAGATGATCGATTGGATATAATTAATGGAAGGTGAAAACCCTTTGACATCTTATTAATGTGCGCTGACGACTTGTTAAGCCACAGACTGAAACCGAAACGCGTATTTGCACTTTACGGCTTCTCAACTCCTTGCTTCGTAATGAGGGTAGATATTAAATATTTCTACCCCCATTTTCCTACATTCCGGAAGTTATGTTCAGGAATATAACGTTCATTACGTTTTTTTACGGCATCTTTATATGCCGTGAAAAACGTAACTAGTGGCCACCGTAAACATAAATCATATATTGTTCACTTGAAAAATGAGCTAACGCTGTTTGAGTCTGCGTGGAGGAATGGAAGATTACGCCAATTGAACAAACCGTTTGAGCCAGTCTGTTTGATCAATTACTTAAACGCGTATGGCGGGCGTGATATGTACCTGAAAGAAGCAAAAACGCGATCTAGGATAAAGCACGTAATTTCACGAGTAAGCTTCAAATTACATTCAGAGATATATATATATATACATTATAATTCTTCTGTAACAGTTTGTCATTGTATAATATAAAACTAATTATGTAATATTGATTAACCTGGGAGCTTATTATCTATATAATATGACTTGGTATAATATATTATGATCAGTACAATAAAAAATAAATTTATACGGTATTAACTCATACAATTTATCTTAGAAAAAAAAATGTGAACTACTTCCTATGGTTTGAAACTCTTTTAAAAATTCGTTTAACAGACAGTTAACGAAAAATGGAACATAATTTCAACCGTTTGGCTTTTTTCGGGTGAAAACGAAATAAGAACGACGAATAATGAAAATTTAAATTCCAATAACGAATACGACCGCAACTATATGGTTTCGTTAAGCACGACTGCATTGCAGCAACAAGTTGCCAGTTAAAATAATTCAATTGTTCAATTTTACATCTACGCACATATTGTATCTCTTCAAATGTTATATTAACACGATTCATATAAATTGAAAATCTATTTTTATTTACAAGATATTTGTCGACATGGGAAAGAGTCGAATAAATGTACACTTTTGATTGAATATATTTGTAAGTTGATGATATTAATGTAGATTATATGAGTATCACAGGTAAAGAATAACTAGTTTTACATAGAAAGCACCTAATTCATTTTACTACAACTCGACTTTAAAAATACTGAACATACATTATTATTTATAGAATAGAATAGAACGTTACGTTTATTCCGAAACAACACACAACAACAACATTTACAATTAGAGCTTAGTCTACAAACGTACAAACTAAACTCTTTCAAAGATATAATTCATTTGAATATTTACTTTGCGACTTTTATCATAATTCATTTTAACTTAAAATATTGGGTATAAGCTACGTCTGTTAACCGTTTAAAATTAGGCACTAGTTCTGACTAAGACCTTATGAGATGTAGTCTAATCAGTGTCGAATTAGGCTCCCACCTGTCATGACTTTGTAATGTTAATAATTAAATGAATAATAAATATAAAATATGTTTTAGTTGTTGTGTGTAACATGTATGTATGCCAAATAGCCCAATAGTACCTTTACGTATTGATTGCGACCCTCATGGCTGATCAATTAAGGTGTTAACCTTGGTTCCTCAAATCCTTCATACAATTTTATCCCGCGCGAAATTGCTACCAATAAATAATGTCGAGCCATCAATTGTGTCGACGTAATGAAAGTCGCGATTTGTTGTTGCCATAAACAAAATCTCCCTTTATAGGGCGAGATAGCGGGGCTTACAAGCGAGCCGCGCCTGAGAAATCCCAATAACGCGCTCATTTTTGCATGTCTATCAATACTAGGCCATCAGACCGGGATATTCAATAAGCTCCCATGTGCGTATTTGAATTTAGATGTCCTGAATACCTTCTGACTAACTGCGTAATGTTTGACTGACTCGACTGCAGAATGCGAGATTTGGGTAACGAATGTTTTTAAATTCTTAAACCACATTAAAACTGCCTTATGGCTCGGGTATTTCACCACCGTGTCTATTCTCCTCCATCATTAAAAACCACTTAATTAGTGGTGGTAGTCGTTGAAGACCCACATACACTGCAGCTACATGCTGGGTTCAAAATCTCTCATAAGAGAACAGTGGCCAGCATTCCTGGTAGTTAGAATAATAAAATCTGCTGCATATAATATAAAACTATGGTTATAATGCTATGCTACTCGTTGTTGGAAGTTATACAAACACAAATTATTTACTTTATAACAAAGATCGAACAAAGGAAGCTTGAATACATCGCGTGCAGAGTTCAAGTCTTCCAGTTCTACTACAATGTATTTTAAAATACAATAAACATCTAAGCGTATCTTTCCATTATTCTCTAAAACGTAAATTTATGTGGAATAATTCTAGCTATTCATTAACTGGCAGTTCATTTATTACTTAAAAACTGACATCAGTTTACAAAATTTAAGTTTTATTAAGATAAATGCAAATTACCACACATGTATAACGTTGTACGTAAAATATTCCTTTATTATTATTTATTGTAAAATACCATATTCTTCTAGTAGTTCTGGTTTAACTTACGGGCAAGTGGTTGATCTCACTTTTGTGCTCTGCCCGACCGAATCCTGGCACTCACGCAAGGTGCAAACTAACCATTAACCATTTAAAAACTTTAACCTTAAACGGAACTATACTTGTATTCAAAACACTTATATTTTTATTAAAATCAACGTGTTTTGTTTCAGAGAGCATAGACAAATCCGGGGAGGATCCTGTCATAGCAGCATTAAGACCATACGGAGCGCCCGACGAAGACGGGCCAACGACGCCCGACTCATTCCAAAAGTACTTCGGGAATTACTCGGGATCCGTTCACCGTGACGTCACTGAAGAGTCATCGCTAGTAGATCACCTAATTAATCTCGAACACAGCTATGACAACGACACACAGAGAACAGACGACACTGCCACAGATAGCATAATAAATGACACAGATGCAACAGTTAAACCCTTCCACGAGGATGTAGTTACGAAATTCTTAAGATTAATCGAGACTCAGCATTTGCTTGGCGAGAATTGTACAGCGGGGACTCACTTAAATTTGGGGGAGGGTGTGGTGGATAGGTACGCTCAGGAGAGGTTTAGAGTTGAGGCTGACGTGGCTGTAAATAGAGCTAACATGCTAACGAGGCTTTGGAAGTATGCCGGTCCGTCTGTGATGCATAATGAGTATCTCCTCCATGCTAGTGTTTTTTCCATGGTGGAGTTTGATGATAATATCTTCGGCGCTGGGAACTGCTATGATCAGTATCAGTATAAAGATTATCAGCTGTTCTGCCCGTTTGCATATAGACTACCAGAAGGTCCTATTCTTGCGAAGGACCTCGCTGTAGAGTACAAATACTTGAGCAACATGTCCGAGTGGTTTTACATCGCCAGGAAGAATGCGGAGCGCGTGATCCGCAACCATAATCAGTTTCAAAGAGGTGAGGGTATTTTTAATACTATTATATCGTTTTATAAATTCTTCGTATAGTCAGGACCTCGAAGAATATTCCTGATATTGCTTGTTTAAAATTACGTTTCGTTCAAGAATATCGGTTTTAATTTTACGAAAAATAAACTTTACTTTATTTGATGTATGGTTTTTCAAGCTGTGTTTATAATTAATTATAAAAAACATTTATAATTCAGCAGCGGCAATAATAAACAAATATGTATTCTAAAGACAGCTTAAGATATATTAAAAGCTTTGTATCAAAAACTACACAGAAGTTAACCCGGTCAACTTAAATAAATTTCGCGTTTTATGCCGTTTAATATAATTTTAATCCAGGATACAACACGTACACATACAACGATACGACCCACACAGAACGAGAGGAAGATGAAATCTTAGCTGTAGCCTACGAAGATGGGAAATGGTCGAAACCCTACTACGATTGTGGTGGTGGAAACATTTGGATGCTGACTTACACCGTACCTTTCTTTGGCTATAGTAACGGCACCTATTTCTTCAAGTAAGTAAATACCTCAAGCACCTACTTATAATAGGACCCCAGAAACGAACAGTAGGACTATCTTTTCGTTATTAGATTAATGTTAAACATATATGTCTGTACACAAACAAACAAATTTAAAAACAAGCAAGTATACTTTTAGGTCAAGTTACTTCTAGTCATATAAATTTTGTTCTAATTGTAAGTTCCGATACTGACGCGCTTAATTCAAAAATAACCAAATGAATTAGTAAATTATTCGAACTTTTATTAATACAATTTAGTAACTCATCAAAAATATTAATCTTATAACGCAAAACGTAATTTTAATCATCAACATGATACAAGCATATGAGAGTCATCGAGCCTCGGAACAATGAAAAGTGGGGTCATAAAAATAATAAATTGTTTTGTTTTATGAATAAAACATTAAAGAGACCTGTTACATAAATAACGAAACATACTCTCCCAAATGTTATGGAAGTGAGAGTTATGACGAGGCGTGATCATCGTGGAAAATGTCGATAAATTTTGTACACTTCACCGTGGGAGTTTTTTCTCAGATTATATATAATTTTGTTTTTCAAAATATCTTATCGGTGTAGTTCTATAACCACCTCATCTCAGTTATACGAGAACATCTTACTAGTTTTTGTAGTTAGTCCTACGCCCTTGATATTGGTTGAAATTACATTGCGCGGCAGGTGCAAGTATCAATAAGTTAAAAAAAATTCGACGATGTGGTGTAGGACTCGGTAGCTCAATTGGTAGAGCAACAGCACGGAACGCTGACGATGCCGGTTCAAGTCCTGCCCGATTCGAAATTTTTTTTAACTTATTTTCGACCATACCATTTATAAATTTTTATCAAAATAAATTGAATAGTCAAGACTGCCTCAATACCTGATGATTGCTTTTTTAATTATTGAAATTGGACATTCCATTCAAAAGATATCATTAAATTAAAACAAAAATACATGCCGGCGGCGGCCGCCACGCCGCGCATCGAGTAACTAATTCGACGATAGAGGTGCGAACGACATTGAATATTTCGAGTTTTTTTGTTTACATTTTTATGCTTCACTTAAAACGTTCTTTTCAGAGCTACTTAGTTTCAATATTAGGAATCACACTTTGCATAATATTTGTCAAAGTTCTTTTCAGAACTATCGCTTTGAACTTGCATATTTTCTTTTGTTTTATTATTAGCTTATTCTTAATTTCTCTGATTTAAAATACATATCCTTCATAGCAATATGCCTAAAAGAAGAAGGTCGCAGCTATCTAAGAATAGTTTTTAAGCGAGATTAGCAAAAGTTCGTCGTATTGGAGAGTGTTCTTCCTAAAATGATTGTCTGGAAAGTATTAGAGTGTACGCGTTCCAATCGCGAGCCAGAGAATCTATCGTCGAATGTTCAGGTTCGTCTTGCAGAACAAAATGCAAGATCGTCGCAGCAACTTTAAGGAAATAGAGCTAGGAATTCGCGAACGCGTGCACGGGACTCTAACCCTGAACGCTCGCAGGTTGTAAACAATTAGGACGCGCAATATTTTTTTTTCTAATTTAGTGATTCATGGTCGTTTTAATTAGCATGCTTATAATTTAAATATCTGTACGTATTTATGTCTACCCGTGCGAAGCCAGGACCGGGCCGCTAGTATATACATATATAAACACACATACCCCGCTCTTTAGCATATTTAACAGAAAGTTTCAGAAAAATTTGCATGACCCTAATTTTTAATATTTGACCGCCGTTACGTGTTGGCGTTTCAGAAAATTATAAATTCATTTGGAAAATGTTGGATCGTGGGGATCGAAGCCTTTGATTGTTAACAATTACTACCATTACACCAACGAACCCTTAAAAAAGTAAGAGAGAGAAGTGTACAAACATATGCTCGTTTTACCCTTATATATGATAACAACGACAAAAGAAACGAATATAGTCATTTATTGAATGGATCCGAATAATCTGTTGACAATGCTTGCTCTGACAATATTAGACTGACAAAACGTAACTCCAATGAAAACCCGTCATAGGAATTGGGATCCCTTTAGACTTATTTTCCATTAGAGGACGAGTTACGAGTCAACTAAATATTACATTAATATTCTTATGGAATTATGATTCTTGGAGTTTTAACGAGTTCTAACGAAATATTATGTAATTTTTAAATGTTTTCATTAATACATTTTTTTGTAATAACTAACTGACGAAGTATTTCGACGAAATTTGTCTCCCGTAAAAACGGTTCTCGTGAGTTCATCTTAACAGATAAACATATATTGTCGCTGTCAGTGTTTTGTAGATCATTTAAAGAAGAATCATCCTATTTAAAAATCGAAAATAAATTGAAAAAAATTTATTCGTATTTTTATTATATAGTGCCTTCACGTGCAATAACATGTAATAGTACATTATGATATTAGTGCGGTAAGTTGAAAATTACAGCCGAGGCGATATTACTAAAAAAGCAGAGGCTGTAATTTTCAAAGCGCACGTTTGTCATAGGTACGACGTTTTATAACATATTTACGAGGAAATTAATAAAACTCTAACTTAGTTAAACGAATAAATCTTTAATTCATCGTTAAATTTAAACAATTTTTAAAAGTGATTGTTACGTTGCCAGTTGGCACTTTTAATGTTGTTAAGTTATTATTATTATCGTTCATTTTTAGACGGAGTATCTTAAAACTTTATTAAAAAAAAACACGTGCCTTTTACATTACATTATCGCACAAGTACGTAATGAGATACATTACGATATTGAAATTGGTGTAATTACATCCACTTCACGAGCAAATATGTTATAAAAAATATTAAAGTTTTCAAAAGAATCATTCTTTCATACTTTTTGTTTTGGTTTCTAAAACTAATAAGTCATACTAATAATAGTAAAAATAAATAATTTCTCCCGTTTTTTTCCATATTCCCCGCTGTTTCTTTCTTATAGCTCGCAGCCTAAAGTTTTATAGTCTTCCTAGATTAACCAATCAACACAACATTTTCAATTTGAAGTTCCTGAGATAAGTTCGTACAAACACACAAACAAACAAACTCTTCTGCTACTATTAGTATAGATACAAGAGGCTCTGGACGAGGCAAAGACTAGTGATAAACTACTTGCTGATAGTAAAATTGATTAGAAAACAAACTCAGCAATGTACCGAGTGAGAAAGAGTATGCCGCACAAGGTTTTAAAGTGGAAGCTTGTTTAAAGGCTTTTATTTTCATTATTTAAAACTAGTGCAACCACTAAAACTGGAGGGATAAAACTAGTTTTACAATTTTCCTCGTTATAAAAATGAATTTTAGTTATACGTTAAAAATTGTGTACAAACATCTCTTTTCAACTGACACGAAAAAAGTTTTTACAACGCTAGCCAATTTTTGACAAAAATTTCCATTTCGACAAAGTTATTTGCAATACACAAAAAATGATGCTATAGCATAGACAAGTTTTTAAATAGCGTAGCGAAGTGCTTAGCAGCAGTCGTCACCACGTAACCACGGCATCTGAAAGGTCGGGCTATTGTAAAAATAATTTGTAAACGAAGGTAAGTTTTATGTACACTAATATATAAAGCTGAAGAGTTTGCTAATATTTTTGTGTTGGTTAGAGCAATTATCGAGGAAGGCGATAAAATATCGTCGTGTATCTATAGAAGCGAAGATACAAAAATTGGAAAATTATTCATCATTATGGGTTTCCGAGACGTACGCTGCAAATGCAGTACAAGATACCCAAAAAATACGTATGAAAGAATGATTCCTCTCTAAAAGATCTAAAAAAAAGTCCGCGACGCTATATGTCTATTTTTTAAGATTATCCCACAAAAACAACGGGAAGGGACGCGATCGACGTCGTATAAAATAATACAAACGAATAAATACGGACGAAGTCGCGGGCATACCGGCTAGTCTAAAATAAATGGTGATTTAATAACGCTATCTCGATTCAGTTTTACTACACTATCAATAAGCGAGCCATACTGCTTAATGCTATTATATTAAAAAACTTTGTAATACATCAACTGTAGTTCAAGTTTCTCAAACTGCATATTGTTTTAAGGTTAAATCGACTAGCACACGTCTCTATTAGCCCAGAATATTAATGTAGCGAATGACTTAATCGTACCATGTTTCAAGTTAATTCTAGTTTGCATGATCTGCCACGGATACGCGACATTCGGGTGTGGTCTAAGTCACAAGGTTTGGCTAAATGATTAAAATAACACCCAGTACGCAAAAACTTAAGTGGTTGTTGGGTGTGAAAAGGCTATATTGAAATAAATACTTTTAGGTTTAAAACGCAAATTGTAATGCATATGTAACTTTGTTAACCTAATTTACAATATATTTATACTTCTAATAATAATCACGGCAAATATCACGGCTTTTCATCTATTGACGGTAGTTCGTAACCGGGACGGAACTTCGAAATTCTTCTCACCCATTCTATATCAAGATTTCCTACATGGTTCAGAAAAATTATGAATTGATTAGCATGTTAGACTCGATGGAAATCAAACCCACAACCGTTGATAATTAAAAATATCATATATCATTATACCAAGGAGTACATCATATAATTGAAATTCGAGGAACGTTACACCAATATTTAGAAGCGTGACATGAAGTTAGATTAGAAATAAGTTTTTTACTTATACCATGTCCCGTGCTAGCGTAAAGTAAGGTCGAACTCGAGTTGCTAACTATTCCAGTTTAAATTTAACCGCGAACTTCTGTATTTCGGATTTATATCTCTGCATTTATCATTTGAAGTAAACTTTAAATACGATATCGACATTTGCCAACTTATAAGTATACAATAACATTATGCATAACAGGGCCGCCAGACCTCCCCTGTAGCTAAATGGCTAAACGTAACACGAGTGGTTGGGTTCGAATCCCGGGTAAGCAATAAATTGTTTGGTGTGACAGGACACAATATTATCAACACTTATCTGTATAATCGATCAATGAAACGGACACAGAAATGAGTTCACCTCATTCCCCATGTAAAGGGATTTCACTGGCTCACTTATGCACAGGGAAATTACTTTCAGATCATAATTGTTTAATTCTTATTATCAAGGATGATGATGTTAGCCGTTCAGTTTTATGGATCGTGATAAAGATTATTATTAGTGATAACAAATAATAGTAAAAAATAATAAACATAACTCCATAATAAACGGTCAAAAATTAAGATAGAAAGAATGAATGCTCTTTGTTTTTAAAATCTCCTAGCTTCTAAAAATGTATTTAACAGCTGCGCTATGTCAGTACCCTTAGTAAATAAATATTTTTTTAATCTTAAAACGTAAACTTTAAAGCCGATTTACTTTCCATCATCGAGTTTTGATCATTACGAAGTAAATATTGTCTGTAGTTTGCATTAGTAGTACACAATTAAAACACTTTTAACGCTTTAAAAAGCGAAATATATTAACTATTATATTTTTAAATTATTTCATCTACGTCTCGACGTTGAAGCAAATTAAAAATATATTACTGTTTTTAACAAAATCGTTACAAAGTTTATCTTCAAATACTGTCTATAGTTTACGCGAGTTGTACATATTTAAATAAAACACTTTAACGGTTTAAAACGCGATATATTCGATTTTCAAATAAGTTTAAACCGTTAAAGTGTGTTACATAAAAGTTTATGTTTGATACACTGGCGTAAACTGCACATACTCGTACATCAAAGCAATTTCACGTAAATACATAATTTTTCAGGGGAACCAGCGGTATCGACATCGACTTGAGAAGAGTGGATATCGATCAGTGCCCGTTGAAGGTTGGCTCTACGCAGCTCAATATCTTTGCCGGCACTGACAAGTGTAAGAAGAGAACAACTGAGGTTTGATTTTTTTTCTACTTACATTTAATTGAGGACAGTTTACTAAGATTACTTAAAATGGCTAGCGATTCTACTGGTGACTTATAGACTTGCATGTAGTTGATGACTTATGTTTCAAAAATGAGTTGTCATTAAATAAAACACTTTAACGGTTTAAAACGCGACATATTAGTTAAACTTATTTGAAAATGATTTTTAACTTCGGCCCGACGTTTTGGATGCTTTGCAGCAGCCGTGACTTTAAAGTGTTTTATTTAAATGTGTACTACTCGCGTAAACTATAGACAGTATTTAAGTTGTCATTACATAAAACCATAAAATGTCGTAAAAAGCATAGTGTTCACGTGATATCAGGTTAATACCGCCATATAACGTCTAAATAAGATACTCTATTTTACGTGTACTATTTTGGCTTGGGCATTTGGAAATCCACTGACTGAACTGGAAGAAATATTAAAACTACATTGTTTTTATCAGTCGACGGTGGTTGGAGGCTTGGTGGAATTTACGTAGAAGAAGTTTTCCAGACAAAGTCTAACATTTAAACTAAACCGTCATAAATGTTTTATTTTTAATGGTTTAAATGTACTAATTGAAACATCAAACGAAACGTTTCCCCGTGGACAGAATAATTTGTAAATCAATTTAACAGAAAAAAATGTGTTTTATTTAGAAGTTTAACATGTGTCAGAAAAAAACATTGTTTTTAGAAATACTAGACTTAATGAGAAACGAACCTACGACCCAATCATTATTAGTCAAACATTGTTACCATTGAACCAACAACTGAATATAATATACTAAATTTGATGTTAACTCAATATAATATACCAAATTTGATGAAATTTTAAAGAATTCAGAACTTTAAGCTAACGAGTCATAATAATAAAATTCATATCTGAAATGAAGTCTATTCGTGCCTCGGGCGTCCCTAGGGACTCCATCTTAAGCAAGATTGCTTAGAATTGATGACATCTCCGGGAGACATTTGGGCGGATTGCCACAAGGGGACTATATTTCGTATACAGGCATAGGGATGGTTGATCAGAGATGTCTGAATACTAAATATGCTTCAATGTACGTAAATGTTAAAGTAATTGTTACAAATCTCTTTACAAGAACATTTAAGGCTGCTAGAGGCAGAGTGGCCTAATAACAAAAAACATGATCAATAAGGTGAAAATACTTATGAATGGTACAAAACTAAAGAATCTAATTTTACATTTACTACCAATTCGTAGAACGAACGAGAAGAGCTGGCAATAATCTTGCCGCCACTCCTTTTATCGCCAAGTTTCATATTCTTTTTCACGTACAACACAACATATTTTTTCTTGTTAGAGCGCGTTATTAAGATTTTTAGGCTATAAAAATAAATACTCTAGTCATAAAATTGCAGTAAGCGCCTTGCGCCTAGCGGTCTCATTTGAAAGACTTTGAACGGTTCAAAACAGGAAATATATAACTTAAACTTTTTTACAAATTATTTTAACTACAGCCCGAAGTTTCGGATACTTTACTGCAGCCGTGGTATCGGATAGACTAAAGATGGAGTGTCTCAAATGTCAAAGTAAAAACTGCTACGCTAGCGCCTGTCGGTATAGTATTTAAACATGTACCACTCTCGTACACTACATACAGTCTTTAACATTTGAAAGGAATAATTTTTAAGAGATTTTTCACAATCTGGACTTTGAATCTTAGACTATGAGACCCAAAATTATATATACTGAAATTAGTCATATATCGATAATTTGGTTTTCTGTACACAATATCATGTCATCTGCGCTACCGTAAAAAAATGGATCCTCGATCTATATTAGGTTTTGCATACTGTCTGTAGTTTAGGCGAGTAGTACACATTTAAATCAAACGGTTGTAAATGCGAAATATATTATTTAAACTTATTACAAACGAAAATCAGGATGTATTGAACAATTTTTATATAACTTAAAATAATACATTTCGCGTTATAAACCTATAAAAGCGTTTTGTTTATATAAGGTCGAGCATAGCTCTGGATAAAACAAATTAATTGAAACGAGTTTTCATTTCCTGAAATGTAAATAATGCAGTGAGTTTTTCGCCTCCAGCAAAATCTTAGCACATCACTAATTGAGGAAATTACCAGGAATTATCTCCCCGCTGAGAAAACTCGGGAAGTCGTGATCAACTCAGATTTCAGCTTCGATTAAACTAAGCTTTTGTTTACACTCGCTTTTTCAGCGAACCTCTTATCGCGTTAACTGATAAACTGTGTACGTTTTCACTTCTCTTAACCGACTATAAGAAAGTCAATTCATAATAAAGACACAAAAATATGTCTGACACATACCCTTATCTTAATCTGAGATTAATCATCATCATTAAGAAAACTGTATTTGTAGAAAAATGTATTAAAAAAAAACAAAAAATAAATATAAACAAAAAATGACATCTGAAAAAATGTTGTAGGTAAGTACAATCTTAGGACGGGCTAACATCGTCATGGATACACAGCTGTTTTAATTCTGTAAAATGAACAAACAGAAATATTGCTGTCTTTGTCACACATATGTAATTAAAGCTTGCGGAAAGACGGATTAAATTACCGATACTCATTGCGTATGGCAATGGCAATTTTGAAATGATATGTCGTGGACACGTTAATTTACATCGCTTTGTTCAGTTTCCCTTAGTATGTGGAATTTCGTATCGCTTAATATGCCTGTCGCATACGTGGACGGCGTCTGCTGATTCAGGGCAATTGCATTTCACAATTTTGCAAACGACACACCCACGTGAACATCAATTAGCGAAGCTCGAATTGAATTGGTCTTCTAAAAATGTAACAGTTCCATTTGCAGCTTCAAATTTGCTTCCTTTTGTCGCCGATAGATGGAACTATTGTGCATTACATTTATCTAACACTCACCACTCATAGAATTTAATAGTTGCCAAAAACATTGAGATAAAGATACGCTTAGTTTCATTCATAATGATTATCTATTAAATACTATAAAATTTTTCATCAATATTAAAAAGTGAAATCTCCTCTTCGAAACATTGCTATTTACAGGCAAGTAGTTAATCAAATTTTTGTACCCTACTCGGCCGAAACTATACACAAAGACCCAACTAGTACTCAAAGGAATGTGTGTTAAAACTTTGAGACTTAATACGGACATTGTTGAAATAAGATATTATTTGTTTTAAGTTTTTAAGCCACTAATTATTTTTATTTCAATTATGAGAATGAAAAAAAATATAATATAAACTTTCGCAAACCATAATCCATCTGTACATTTTATTCATGCGATAATAAAATCCAAAATTCCCTTTCATTAGGAGAATCCTCTTTTCATATCTCTATAAAGACAAAAATAAAATCCAAGTGAAAACTGAAACAATATCGTTTATACAACATTTTTATGGCAGCATAAATTCAAATTTTCGCCACAGAACCGCCTCCAGTATAGTAATGGAAAGTCGGACTTTATAAATGGACGTCGATATGCATTAGCGTGCCAACGTTCACCATTTGTCATTTCGATGTAAAGGGATGAATCTACATTTAAAAACTAGCAACCGTTTCATTCTGTCTGTTTCCTGTTGTTATCAAGTTAAACAAATAGATAAATCCACAACTTTTATAACTTTAAACGAATATGAAACGATTGTAAATTTAAAATACGTATATAAACCTTGTTTGTTGAATATCGTCTGTAGTTTACGCGAGTAGTACACATTTAAATAAAACACTTTAACGGGTTCAAAGGCGGTATATATTAGTTAAACTTATTTGAAAATTATTTTAACTAATATTACTACCCGTTACCCCATGACCCCGGGGGTCTCCCCGTGACCACGGCTGCTTAAAACTATATCATATATATGGCGTTTTAAACCGTTAAAGAGTTATATTTAAATAAATTTGTTGAATAAAACTTACCTCTTCTAAAAAGTGGCAAGTGTCACAGGGTTGTTGATTGACGACCAATCTATCAGCGTCTATTTTACAACAGAACCCGGGACGTTGTCTGTATCGCCATAAAAGTGTGCCCATCAATTGCACGCCTATATTTTCGATATGAAAAATGATGATTTGATAAACATTTTTCGCTTACACAATGACGGGCCTTCAGCATTTTTTCATGGAGGCTTTAATAAAATATCTGTTTGCGATTGATTAATTCTATATTAGTTTTGTATGATAATATCGAGTTATATATTTTTTTATTTTCATAACTTTTTGCGTGGCCGAATACCGATTAATGTATCACTGTTGAACACAGGAAAAATCTTTCTTTGGATCTTAGATTAACTGCGGATCGGGTCTTAACGACTGATGATAACCACACCGATAGCTTAACATATTCTCCGAGAGACAGAGCTTAACATTCCTACTTTCAAATTCCGAGCTGATTTTAGAATAAGTTAATAATTTATTTGTATTATTTTGAAATTATTAATATTTTTCGCATGTTATTGCACACGATGTCACTATATAAATTAAAAATCGACTATAAATTAAAAAAAAAAAATTACCACTCAGGCAGGGTTTAAGCCGGCATTCACAGCGAACCGTGCTGTTGGTGTAACCAATACTGCCTCGGTAGCTCAATTGGTTAGAGTAACAGCAGTACGCTATGAATACCGATTTAAATTCTGCCCAAGTCATAATATTTTTTTTAGTTTATTATTGATGTTTAATTTGTATTATCTTTTCCATATAAAATAAGTTTACAATGCAAGCCTTTAAAACAATACATTTTTGTTTAAAAATCATGATTTTCTTATTAAGTGAATTTATATATTCTAAAAGAAAATCAATAAAGATTTTTCGACATCAGCTATAATCAAGGAAACTGATCAAGAGAAAAAATTCTGTTATTTTATCTCCTTCGTAGAAATCGGAGGGTAGTATTCTTTGTGCAATTTTAAAACCAAATTTTTGTTTCAGTGCATATCAGTACCTGGATTGGGTTTCCGTCGTGGGTCCTATCGGTGTGTGTGCCGGCGCGGGTTCTACTTCCCTAACACCACAGCCGAGAACCGCTACTACAATGGCAGTGTCATTGAAGAAGAGTATGAGAAGAATTTACAGGTACCTGCTGTTGTGAATATTAAAAATATACGCAATCCTCGTGACGCAATGTTTATTACAAAAATCCTTGACCGGTTCTAATATAGTTTTATATGTATTTTATTGAGTTGAGAATTGTCTCCTAACCTTTTTTTTGTATTGCTATATAATAAGGTCTGTCTACCCCTAATTTTAGTGTATAATTAATAAAAAAATTTCTCTTGTATCACCACCTATCGATAATGGACATTTTTGTAAATTAATACTTTTCTAACTTATAACTGATCATCACTTAGGTAGAAGTTACTTCCCCAGTTACGCTAGAAACTCCTTGAAAAATATTGTTATTGCAAATCAACGGTTGCCGGGTCAGCCAGTTTATTTCTAAAACTCATACTAAGTTCTTTTCTATCTTAATTTTATAAAAATTAGTATAAATTAATAAGGCATCAATTAGAAGGAAATTAAGCTAGGCCCTCTCGAGTGTCAATCTCAGCAGTGCTTATTTCAGACCGGCCAAGTAATAAGAAAAGCGGTGAAGTGAAGTGTAGTTGCAAGTAAATATTAAAAAGAGTTTATAAATAAATAAAAAATCCTAAATCCTTCCCCGTGCATTTACATCGGTTTGTATTTATATACTCCTAGTCGAAGTTCAAATACAGTGGTATACATTTTTTTAATTATAAATAAATCATATCATACATATTTCAATTAAAACTGAGCCAAAATAGATAAATTCATGTTTATATAATATCTCGTATGGAAAATATTTCCTGTTTGCAGGAATCTGCGAAGTTATTTTTTAATTTTTTCCGCTGCATTTGATAGAGTATGCTAGAGAGCTATGAAAAAGTGCATTGTTTAAAAGGGTTAAATCATTTTTTCATTTGAAAGCAATATGTACGTGGATTTTTTATTTCTTCATATTGCTTATACCAGTTATAATTTCTTTATCGATTTCATTCATTCAATAACAACTAAGAGTTCAGTAGAGTTTCAAATAACTGATGGCTTGTGTGTTCTATGCCAAATTGGTTTAAGAATACCTATACGAATCGTTACGAATGTTATTGCTAATCTTAATTAACTTTCGTATTTCCATTTTATTTATCCTCAACCGACAAAGTAACGATGGCCACCATATGCCATAGGTTTTTGTCTAGTTTCGTACAAACGAATGTTCGTAATTTCTTTCGTACTTTCGTTTAAACGTTTATATATTACCTCAGACAAAATTTAATTACACAAATGCTTTGCGTGTAATAATTAAAAAAAAGTTGCATTTCAAAACATTTTAAGTTAAGTTTCAGTTAATCAAATAAATACTTTCTGTTTAAAACACCTGATGTTTTTATTCGTTACACGGCCTACATCAAAGGACATATAATAAAACACAAACAGGAAGCGCTTAAAGTATAAAAACGCAGGTATTGTTTCGTTTTATAATAAATTAAAGATGGTTTCTCAAACATAGACTATAAATTGGCTAATAACATGCTTTAAATGTATAAATAGATGAACTGTTGGAACAATTATATAAACTACATAGCTACACATGTAGATAGCCTTCATAGATTTATATTTTTACCACATTTTTAAGTAATATAGATATTTTCATAATCAGTTTATTTCCCCCAAAAATACATATCAATCCTATTATCTTTTATATATATGTTAACAGTACCAATACACGTTTTTAATAAAGGCGGTATGCGAAGTATTATATCGCAGCGTTTGCTACGAAATAGCTACGCCGTAGTACATTGCTACGTCGCTCGTAGATATAATCGTTGCTCGAGGGCAATTGAAACCGTTTGGCCATATGCCAAGTGGACAGTCTTGTGGCTTAAATGGCCTTATTTTTTAAACGATACTCATGCTTACTGCCACTCTTGTTTAATGCGCTCTTCGTTGAAAGGTTTATCGAGAATAAATGTGTTAATTATTAAGGATATGATAACACTAAGAGATATCGAAGGGTCTATTTTTATATACCAAACATGGTATCGTGAGGAAATAACTAATATAAGTAGGTTTTAAAGAGACTAGCTTTTATTCAGTGATATGACATAACGCAAAGTATATAAATCTACACTCACAAACCCACAGATAGCATTGATACTATACAATTTTGTTATATAGTTACAATTAATTTATAACAATAGCAACATCGAATTTATTAAGGAAAATATCAATTTTACTCGTATGTAGCTAATGCTTCCATATACAGACTTGGCACAAAATTATTTTTTCACCGGAAATCAAACCAGGTTTTTATTCGAGAACAAATTTACTTTAATAGCATTACAATAGAAATTGATATGGATTACCTGACAGCGTAATTAATTAACAAAACTTGATACGTATAAGTTTCTTGAAATAAGGTTATTTGATATTCCAAGGTTATAATCGGAATTCCGTTAGTTATAAAATTGAGTTGATTACCAAACAGATTAAATTTTCATCATTAAAACTTTGTTCAGGTTTGAAGCTACAAGTTAATAGTTACTCTTCAATCATTGAACAGCCAATTTACGGATTTAAAAATTGAGAGCGTAAAAATAGTAGTATTCATTTTCTTTTAATGAACCCTTTTTATTGAAAAAAAAGTTATTATTTGTTAATTTTAATTAAATCTTTTAAATAAAACACTTTAACGGTTTAAAACGCGATATATTAGTTAAACTTATTTGAAAATGATTTTTAACTTCGGCCCGACGTTTCGGATGCTTTGCAGCAGCAGTGTCTCCCCGTGACCACGGTGGAGCAGCAGCCGTGGTCACGGGGAGACACTGCACAGACACTTTATTTAAATGTGTACTACTCGCGTAAACTATAGACAGTATTTAATTAAATCTTTTCAAAACCCACTTGAGATATTTTATGATATTTTCTCGGGCTCCAAATTCTAGATTTTAAACGATATGTTACCTAATTATAATGTTTTTTTTTTATGATAGAGGTGAGACAGGTTCATTTGATAGAAGATGAAATACCCTAGCCATATGACATTTTAACAAGAATTACTATCGACCTATTTTTGCTTTAGATATTCTCAAATCCTTAACCTGAAACCGAGACCCGAATGAACTTTACGGATCTTCATCTGTGGGTGATGGTTCGATATTCCTACCACCCATTTAATATCTTTCCTGACCTGATGAAGACCAACATGTTTCAGAAAAATTATGAATTGATTAGAAACTTGGCGGCGATCGAATCCAGGACCAGTTAATTATGGTATCTATATTGCTACCATTATACCAACAAGCCCGTAAAGACTCTTCACATTGCACAGTGCATGTAAAACTAAGAGGTATTATAATTACTGCGGCAAATTGTTCACTTAAAAAAAACGACTCTCATTTTGACGATGATTTTTACGTTTATGTATTTTTGTTGCCAGCACTACCACAGTTTATATTCGCAACAGTCGGCCTTCGAGTGTATACCATGCGCAGAAGGGTGTGAAGCGTGTGTAGATGGATCACCCTGTGTCGCCGCCCTGAACTGGGTTGCCAGAACTACAATCTTCGTTCTCGCCTGCCTGGTCATATCCTGCCTTCCTTTCATCGTGTGGTTTACTATGAAATATGGACACGTTCGGGTCAGTGTAGAAAGAGTTTTATGTAAAAAGCATTAGACAAAAATTTTTAACCACGATCAGTGTCATATAGTTTTTATTTAAGAAAGGTTTTTAATATCATGTTCTAGCACATCTATATACAAGATAGTGTAGGTACAAGATCAAAACAACAATCAGCAAATACTGTTTAAACACAAAGCCTCATTAAAATAAGAAAGTTAAGTTTAGAGTACTTTCATATTCGGATTCAATAACTATATTTATCAAACAGCATAAAAACTTTACCCTTATACCAACGAACGTCCTATTATGATTTCTCTTAAGATTGAACTAAAACCATTAATAATTCATGAAAGCTATTTATAGCGTAAATATTTAAATCAAAAATCGAAAATATTTTTTTGTCTCGGGCAGGACTTGAACCGCCATCGGCAGCGTTCCGTGCTGTTGCTCAAACCGCATTTGGTTTTTTTATAACGGTGATCATAAGTTGACAATAGAGCTAAATTTGAGAGATTTTTTAATTTTAAATTTACTTATATGTTTGTTTATTTTTTGTCGCGCATATCAACCGAGCAGCGGTTTATTTAAGCTATGGATCACTCGCTAACATAATATAGTACCTAATTAATTAAGATGTCGGGCCCTGTGACTGATGCAAGAAATGCGGTTAAATTATTTCCTCACAGTCTGGCGCTGATAAAAGCTTAGAATATGTATATATATGGAACTGACATTTCAGTGAGTTAGCCAAGAGTGTAAATTAATTTAAAAAAAATAGACTTATTTAAATTAAAAATCGTTTGTACGTAAACAAATGTTACCACACGGACAGAATTTGAATTCGGCATCCACAGCGTTCTGTGCTGTTGCTCTAACCAATTGACCTACCGTGTCCACGTCATTGTCAAATTTTTCAATCTATACATGCACCTAAAAAAATAATTTATTATTCTTATAAATATATATACGCCCTTAATGAACTTAGTTAGAAGAAGTCTCCTTCAACAGGTAGTCCGAGCAGCCAGCCCAGCTCTTCTCAGGGTTATTGTGTTGGGTGCGACCCTTATATACTGCACTACGCTGGTCATGTATGGCAGACCCACGGTGCTGACCTGCACAGCCAGGGTCTGGCTGCGAGAAGTCGGATTCTGCTTGACGTACGGCGCTTTGATGTTGAAGACTTGGAGGTAGTTTTCGTTTAATATTAAAAGTTAAACGAATTATTATTATGAAAAACATTTATTTCAATATATGTACAAAAATAATTTATTAGTCGACTTTTCAAAAAAAAAAAAAAAAAAAAAAAAAAAAAAAAAAAAAAAAAGAGGGGGGAGGAGGGAGCCCCCCCCCCCCCCCCCCGGGGGGGGGGGGGGGGGGGGGGGGGGGGGGGGGGGGGGGGGGGGGGGAAAAAAAAAAAAAAAAAAAAAAAATTTTTTTTTTTTTTGGGGGGGGGGGGGGGGGGGGGGGGGGGGGGGGGGGGGGGGGGGGGGGGGGGGGGGGGGGGGGGGGGGGGGGGGGGGGGGGGGGGGGGGGGGGGGGGGGGGGGGGGGGGGGGGGGGGGGGGGGGGGGGGGGGGGGGGGGGGGGGAAAAAAAAAAAAAAAAAAAAAAAATAATTTTTTTTAAAAAAAAAGAGGAAAAAAAAAAAAAAAAAAAAAAAAAAAACCCAAAAAAAAAAAAAAAATATTTTTTTTATTTAAAAAAAAAAAAGGGTTTTTGGGGGGGGGGGGGGGGGGGGGGGGGTTTTGGGGGGGGGGGGGGGGGGGGGGGGGGGGGGGGGGGGGGGGGGGGGGGGGGGGGGGGGGGGGGTTTTTTTTTTTTTTTTTTCTTTTGGGGGGGGGGGGGGGGGCCCTTTGTTTTTTTTTTTGGGGGGGGTGGGGGGGGGGGGGGGGGCCGGGGGGGGGGGAAAATGGGGGGCCAAAACTAGTTTTTTCATTCGTTAAATCGTTGTTCTTTGCATACTTTTGATCGTAGCGATATTTTTCTACATTCAACATGTATTACTGCTATTAATATATTTCTCCTTACTTCTTATTCCTCTTACTTCCTTCTTTTTTAAATGATTTAACATCATTATGCCGCACAAGATGGCGAAATGACGAGAACCTATTCTCGCTCACGTCGACCGAACAGCCCGAAAAGCAATGAATGATATGCTGAACGATGACCGTGAAAATCTTACACAATTTACGAAAAAGATATTTTGCTATCATTCACTATAAGTCAAAATCTAGAATTCTTTTAGATTTTTTGCACGTTTTATAAGGGACGAACATACATATGTTTTTATTATTTAACTTTTAAACTTTTAATATAAAGGCTACATCCTTCATTTAATATTACGCCAAACCACGCGTCTAAACAAATTGAATAAGAAAAGGGAGTACTTGAAAAAGGACTCAGTTTATTAATAAATAAACCCAAGGATTTCTCTTGACAGCGTCTTGTTTATTTACATAGGACTCCAGTGAACTGTTTTACAAAACATGGCGTCTTTCTCTTTATACAGAATACTTTAGACGTAAGTTTTGCTAATAGATTTGTTTTCCCTTTTGTGAAGGATGTCTTTAAAATAACTATTATAAAAACAAATAAAATATTTCACAGTCTGTAGTATACGCGAGTATGCGGTAAACACTTTTAACGGTTTTGAACTCGACTTATTAGTTAACTTATACAATTTATTATAACACGCGCTGTGCTGTGCAGCCGCGCTAGCGCCATCTGTTCCGACTTAGCGTTGCAGTTTTTATTTTGACATTGGGGACACCTTCCATCTTTAGTCCCATGACCATGGCTGCTGCAAAGCATTCGAAATAATATAAATTGGAAATAAGTTAACTGATAAATTTTAAACCATTACAAATGTTTTATTCAACTATTACAGCTGAGTATAGTGTCGAAACTTAGCCACTTAAAGTAGGCTATACAAAAGCAGACTAGAAAAAGTACAGTCAAGGACAATTAAGGTAAATTGACTAATTGTAGAAAGCAGCCGAAATGAATTACGAGTAGGTACGGAGCAATTTTCCCTTTTGCACGGCGGCCGTTTCGGGCTCTAACGTGCAAATGAGAATTCCTAACGAATAGTCTCGTTTTATTTATACAAGTAGCACAAGGCACTGAAACAACACCACTATCTAAAAGCATTTTCTTAGTATGTATGCCATATGTATGGTTTAAACTTTTTTATTTAAATTATTTCTATAACTTTTATCTATTTAAAACGCAAAATAGGTTGGTACGACGTTTCCGGTATTTTGCAGCAGCCATACTTAAAATATATATTGTCTGTAGTTCGTAATCTTTCTTATGTTTAATCATGATTTGCATAATATGTTTCTAAATTGCCCAAGCGCAAGTTGGAAATAAATAAAGGCGGTGATTACAAATGTAAGTTCGACTTTCGCTGGTGTCATAATTTATTTATTTCTTAAATAAATTAAAATAAGCCGCTGCTTCCATTAAGTTCAATTTATATATTTTGCGTTTTAAACCGTTAAAGTGTGGTAGTTTTGTTAAGCACTTGTGAAAATAAATTCTTTTGCGGTCTTATCATAAGCAAAAATAAACAGTCTTTACTGACCAAAAAATAGAGAATTCAAAAGAAATGCCCAATGAACTCAACATTCTTAACGCTGTGAGTTTGTACTAGCAAATGTTAAGCGGAAACGAAGCTATGTTAAAATAGGAAAAGTTATTAAATAATAAAAGCGCATGTGTATAATATAATATCGCATACATAATTATAGTATATATTCTCTGCCATTTCTACTAAAGTATAATATTTTTTAATAAATAGCAGTTTATTTTTATTGCCAATTTCGGCTGGCTCATTGATGTATATGGTAGCAATGTATGGCTAATATGGTCGTGGTGGTGGTCCACGTGGGTGTTCGCCCCCACCGGGTCCAACATATTTCTTAGCAATATATATCAGTCTGTGGATTTCCGTTGTCAAAAGCTGATATAGGTTGACAGCGTATTTTTACCTACTATCGATTAATATTACGATTAATATTATATTATTACACCGTGTGCATATGAACCGTAACGTATGACGTAACGTTACATGAATTTATACAACCTCCTCTGTATTCAAATACGTTCGAAAAAGCCTTCGAAATTGGCTATCCGCCGTACGTATGCTGTTAAAATTCCCAATGGCGATTTTACAATGCAACTAAAATGGAAAACCCTTTAAAAATTACGTGACACTTTACAGGGACATCGCATAAAAGAACTTTAAAATTGCCGACATTAATGTACAGGGAAATATAACACTGATCCAAAGACTTTTAAAAGTACACTTTTAAATAGTAAAGTTTAGATAAATGTCTCTATTATATACCACGAAGCTAGGAGAAGAAATTAAACTAGACACGTGGCAGCGTATGTATCTAACATTTCGTCACACTTTTCACTACCTCGTAATCCAAAGATTATTTTACTTAAATATGTTTCAATAGGGAGAACGGCCTCAAATTATCGAACACCTGGGATCTCATATTAAAAACTCTGGATCCCAATAAACAGCACACGGGCAAACGCGAAGACACCGTTAGTAAATTCTGCAAGGACCCGGCCAGTTTCGCCAAATACCAACTTCGACGGAACAGATGGCGCTAGCGTAGCAATTTTTTACTTTGACGTCAGAGACATCCTCCGTCTTTAGTCTCCCCGTGACCACGGCTGCTGCAAAGCATCCGAAACGTTGGGCCGAAGTTAAAAATCATTTTTAAATAAGTTTTATATATCGCGTTTTAAACCGTTAAAGTGTTTTATTTAATATGTTTAATTTTGCTCATTTACCTGCAAGATACACAAGTATACAAAATGAATGCCGATTATATATTAAAACTATAGGATTATATATTAAAAATATATCCCACGTCTAGGTGACTTGAAAAGCTCAATTTTAAGCAAGCGAAAAAAACGAATTATCAGAACCAATATCATCACCAACATCACCAATACCACCAGGCATACAACATATCATTGAACTTTGTTTCCATTTCACATTTGTTTTAATAGGATAGTAATTACAATGGAACTCAAAGACTGTCTAAAGAGTAACTTGCTTATAATAAGAAAATCGATAAGTAAAATATAATATAACCGACATTTCTTCACGGTTAGCATTACGGTTGTTTTTTATACACAACAAATTCTATCAAATGTAATTAACTCCAGCAAAAATACATTCAACCTTTAAACTCACTTGGTTTGAGCTCAAATGTGTCCACGAAAATTAACACTAACTGCCTTCAATTCTCATTACAATGAACCGATTCCACAAAACGACTAGCGTGTTTAACTGCATCCGTTCTAACACAATTTTCGTCTTTCTTTGAGTGGGGTGGGGGGGGGGTGGGGGGGGGGGGGGGGGGGGGGGGGGGGGGGGGGGGGTTTTTGTGGGGGGGGGGGGGGGGTTTTGGGGGGGGGGGGAAAAAAAAATTTTTTTTTTAATTTATTTTTTTTTTTTTTTTTTTTTTTTTTATTATTTTTAGGGGGGGGGGGGGGGGGGGGGGAAAAAAAAAAAAAAAAAAAAAAAAAAAAAAAAAAAAAAAATTATTTTTTTAAAAAAAAAAAAAAAAAAAAAAAAAAAAAAAAAAAAAAAAAAAAAAAAAAAAAAAAAAAAAAAAAAAAAAAAAAAAAAACAATTTTAAAAAAAAAAAAAAAAATATCCCCGGGGGGGGGGGGGCCCCCCCGGGCCCCCCCCCCCCCCCCCCCGGGGGGGAAAAAAAAAAAAAAAAAAAAAAAAAAAAAAAAAAAATTTTTGTTTTAAAACATAAAATTTTTTTTTTAAAAAATGTATCCCCCCGGGGAAAAAAAAGAGGGTATTAAATTACTCTAAAATTTTAATAAAATTCAATGTCAATTTAACCATATAGAATAGATCAATAAAACCCCTTATCAATAAATCATCATTATACATCAAAAACATATTAGGATAAAAGAGAAAAATTAGACTTACAACAATATAGACTGTTTTTAATGTTTATTTCTAATGGTTATCAGGTACTTTATGTTATTGCTCGTTCGCAGGATATCAGTGATCTTTCAAGTACGGTCAGCAAAAGCGGTAAAAATCTCCGATATGTATCTATTACGACGGATCGGAGTAATTGTAGGCGTCGCGTGTGTTTTGCTGTCCATACGAACGCTAGTGGCGCCACCTGCGGTCATCGTTGGAAGGACGAAGGATGATTTGAAAGCTTATCTCTGTAATACAGACTGGTGGGATCATTCCTTCACTACACGTGAGTTAACTTAAAAAAATGCTTTAAATATTTGTAATATGTATAAAGTTATTGAAAACGTTTGCCCTTAAATCCCGTTGGAAATGATTTAAATTGAATAAGTCACTTGTAATGGTCACAAACCATATATTATAGTAACTATTGTGTGTGAAATCCCGTTTCCGCCTTCGGGGGGGCGGGGGCGAAACACATTTCTTGTTTTTTTCACTGATCCGTTCTTTAACAGGCGAGTAGTTGATCAGACTTCTGTGTTCTGCCCGACCGAAACAATTTTATGTTTCCCTGGATTTCGAACCCAGGACCGCGTTTAACGCAATGCTAGGCAATACGTTACATCATTCGTTGAAAGAGGCGGTAACTATTGACATTTATATATTTTTATTGTCCGATCATGCTTACACCAATTTAGATGTAGATAAGTGCTAAACCGATATTATATGGTTCAACCAAATAGGTCTGATTCTTATTTCAAAAATAAGTCCTCAGGAATTACTTTTCATTACAAACATTGAACCTAACAGAAATGAACTTCAACCTCAATATGTAAGACGTAACGTAACATAAATAACTTCCTCAAAAATGTAGACTATAGACACGCTCGCTATAATTAGCATGCCCTGCAAAAGATTATTAAAGAAAGTAAGAAAAATACACATATCCCTGATACAGATGAGCTTCTACTTATTTAAAAGTATTTATACAAGCGTTGGCAGGCCCGAATCTATCTGTATAATGTGTTCATAAAAAAGTGTGGGTAAAGTCCCGTCTCTATCATAGGGCATGGGGCGAACACATTTCTGTGTCCGTTTCACTAATCGGTTTTATTAACAGGCAACTATTTGATCAAACTGCCCGAACATAGTATTTCATTGTTACCCCGGAATTCCAACCTAGGACGCGAGAAATTACGTTTAACCATTTAGCTATATAGTCTTCTAATACTTAGTACTTTTGCTAAGAACTTTATCATAGACAAGAAGTCGATCTTTAAATCATTGTAGGAGATATGTTATTTGATCCCGATATTTGCTATAAAAGGTGCCGTAGGCGATACCCTTTAGGCCTTTGAAAACTTGACAATTCGGAGCACGTCCTATCTTGAGTGATTCCAACCCAAAACTTACGCTAAAAGTTCGTAATAAAGATGTAATATGCGATGTAGTTTTTTACTTAAACATTTCCAAGAATATGTATTTAATATCCAAAACCAAAATGGCATATCGTTTAGATTTTATGTGTATCATTATTTTACGGGTTGTTCGGTCGACGTGAGCGAAAAGAGGTTCTCGACGTTTCGCCATCACGATGCCATGAATTCTTAGAGCAATCGAGAAGCTAACATCTCCCGATGATTCCGTCCGCTCCTATGGCGAAACGTCGAGAACTTCTTCTCACTTACATCGACCGAACAGCCCGAAAGACAATGATATACTTTTAAGAGTATAATAACATTTTTATTATATTTTATTTTAACTACCCCGTGACCACGGCTGCTACAAAGCATTCGAAATACAAATTAACTTAAACTTAGCTTATAGCATATACAAGACGCAACTAAAGTAAAGACTCGATTTGTCTTAGAAAAGGTGAAAGAGCCGAATCTATTACCAAATAAAAATTCTGTCTATACATATATTTGAACATGAGTTCTGAATTATATATTAAAATGATATGATACAAGGACAGTCATATCTGTATGTTTATGGCAACGCGTAGATAAGAAAAACATGGCGGCGCTTGCCAAGTGCGGGAAAAATTTATGAAAATTTCACTGTATGTCATGGGACGAGATTTCATCTTGACGCTATCGGGGGGAAATCGTAATGTTTTATTGAAAAGTCTAGTATATTTGCATTACAAGACTGTATGTAATTTCAAAGTACTAGCCGGAAAAACGAAATATTTTTCGTATAACGATGAAATAAAATACAGGATATGATAATTCTGTTTCTAGGGAAACCGTCATTAACGCTTTCATTTACCGGTGTATTGATGTTCTCCGTGACCACTGCTGCTGCAAAGCATCCGAAAGGTCGGGCCAAAGTTAAAAATAATTTTCTTAAAAGTCTAACTAATATATCGCGTTTTTAAAAAGTGTTTTATTTAAATAGATGCAAATAATTACAATCTTCTCTTTCTCAGTGTGTAAATTTCTCCTTCTGTTTTTTTCAGTGTTCTGTGGTAACAAGTTATGTTTTGTTCACAGTGGAGGTGATATTCCTGGTGTGGGGGATACGCTTGTGCATCATGGTCCGTAAAGCGCCTTCGGAATTCAACGAGAGTCGTTTCATTTCAATGGCGATTTACAACGAGTTCCTTCTTTCAGTCTTCCTAAATATATCTATGTGAGTATCTTTAATATCCACTGCTAATCGATTTACTAAAATAAATGCTTTGAAATTTTCTTCTTAATGTACTGGTACTAATACTAATAAAATTATAATCTAGATAGTAAGGCTTACTTTTACGTTATTTTCTATTGATATTGTTAAGGGGTCCTTATTTAAAACTAGCTGAGTCAGCGACTTCGTACGCGTAGAATAGTTATTTTGGGTATCAATTTTTCTTTTTGCAAACCTCTCGGTGAACTCTATAAATTTAAGCTGTTTAACCCACGACGTCGTCCGCGTCCCGTTCTTGCAAGTTAATCTTAAAATATAGACATAGTCACAGACTTTTTTTGGATCATTTAAAAAAAAAATCATTCTTTCATACATATTTTTTGGCTATCTTGAACCGTTTTCTTTGCTAAAGCAATGCAAACCCACAAAAATGAGTAATTTTCCTCGTTTTTTTGACATCTTCCACTGTGTCTTAGCTCCAATTACTAACAGCACTTTGTTTTATAATCTATAGCCTTTCTCAATAAATATTTTAACCAACAAAAAAATATTTTTTCAATTCGAACCAGTAATTCCTGAGATTAGCGCGTTCAAACAAACTCTTCAGCTTTATATGTATATTAGTATAGATATAGATAGAGCAAAATTTGCAATAGTATCGAAATTTATCAACCATATTAATATGTACTTGTTTGGAATAAAACATTGTTTATTTCAATTCGCTTGATTGGTAAGAGCAACAGCACGGAACGCCGTAGATACCGGTTCAAGTCCCGCCCGGGACATGTTTTTTTTTCAATTTGAAATCTATTGTTTATTTTAATTAAAAATGAATGGCTCCATTTTTAATAATTACGCACCTATAGTTGAGGCAACGTGCCATTCAGGAGCACAGAAGAACTAGTCGTTCATTTATTCTTTCATTTCTAAAATATTCTAACTATATAACATAAATACCAAATAAACTTTCTAAATTCCCAGCCACTCTCGTACCGATCATCAAAACACAAAATTGAAAAGCGGTAATTAGTTTCGCATTGAAATACTTCATTTTCATAGAGAATAATCAAAAGAGCTTTTCCTGCTTTAATATTACGATCGAAAAGGTTTTATTCATAATTTCAGGCTGAACTTATTCACAGCAGTTTTGTACAGCGTATAGAAAAGGTACTTCAATATTATACACGAGCTAGTTAGGCCATTATAAGCTGCGAAGTGTAAATTAACATTTCGGTTACAGTCCGATTAAGTATTTCTCAATATATAAACCCAATATTTATATATATTTTTCTATGATAAAGGACAGATAAGCATCGACAGACTGAAACTAAAGCGCAATTAATCTTGACGGCTTTCATCTTTGGTGGTTCGTGACACGGACGGAATCTCGATATACCTACCCCTATCTTAACCAGATTTCCTAACGAAGTCCAATATGTATCAGAAAAATTATAAAATGATTAGAAAAGTGATGGGCCCGGTGGATATCAAACCCCACGACCAGTTGTTAATAACTCTTGCATGCCATTCGAGCTCGCTTTTTTTTAATAAATCCCATTCTTGTAATAATATAAAAAAACATGTCCCATATTGGATCTTGCTTGATAGCAAACTAATACTCATATAAAAAAAACTTTAACGGTGTAAACGCGATATATTATTAAGAGGAACTCGGTGGCGGCAAAGCATGCGAAGGTCCGGCCGAAGTTAAAAATAATTTTCAAATATGGAACTATTATCGCGTTTTAAACCGTTAAAGTGTTTTATTTAAAGCACTCGCTAAACTATAGACAGTATTTAAACTAAGACTCGCCGATCCAAAACGTGTTTCGTCTGGCTTCGAAACGAATTCGTTTCGCTGTGTATCCCTTAAATAAATCATAGTTCCTCGGTCTATTTATCGAAATAAACAATCATAAAATTATTCATCAAGAAGTTTAGACGTGTAATTAGCGGAGGGAAGTGATGGATCGCAATTAACAAAAGGGACCGGATTTAATTTCGTTCATTCGAGAATCACGGTTAATTTTGTGAAATGGCAACAAATACTCGGGATTAGTTGATGTGGACTGGGACAGCTTATGAGTATTGTCAGGGGTGGGGCTGTGGGCTGTGTGAAATATTAACGAAGATTTTAAAAGGACAGAGGTTGTTAACAGATTAGGGTCTCCAATAGGTGGATTGTGTTTTTGTGGTGGATTTATGGATGGTGTATTACGTACATATATAACACTAACTGTGCCCATCACTTCATCCCCATAGAATGTAGAAGAAGGAGGGGGAATTTGAGATTTTGCAAAGAATCGAAACAAAAGATTGTGGTTCGGTGGGATATCCAAATTTATTTTTGTAAACTTTATCCTTATGAATTTAGCTGTTACTCACGAGTCACGACGTCGATCGCGTCCCGTCGTTCTTGCAAGTTAATCTTAAAATATAGACATATACTGTCGCGGACATTTTTTTTAGATTCTTTAAAGAGAAAAATTTTTGGGTATCTTGAACGGTTTTCGCAGTGTACGGATAGGAAATCTTTCAAGATGAATAGTTTTTCCCACATTTCCCGCTATTTCTTTGCTTCTATTAGTCACATAGCAATGTTATAGCCTATAGCCCTCCTCGATAAATATTCTAACCAACACAAAAAAAAATCAAATGGTTACAAAAATAAAATCAATTCGAAGCAGTAGTAATCTCAGAATTAGCGCGTACAAACATACAAACAAACAAACTCTTCAGCTTTATATATTTGTATAGAAAGCTGTTACCAACGACGTTGTTCGCGTCCCGTCGTTATTCCGAGTTAATCTGAAAAATTGCTTTCCCTATTTCCACTGCTTCTTTTCTTCTATTGGTCGCAGCGTGATGTTATATAACCTAAGGGCTTCCTCAATAAATGTACTATATACAATTGTTTTTCAATTTCGCACTAGTAGTTGTAGTAGTCGCTCCTTAGATTAGAGCGTCCAAAAAACAAAAATCTTTATATTATAGATGCTTAAATATACGGGCAATGCAATATGTATAAAAAAATAACTGACTAGTAAAATATAAATTTATAATAGTAAGCTATATTGCGATCGAACGAAAAATAATAATTAATCCATCACAAATTTTCGCGTTTAAGTAAGCTCTGTAAGGGCAACTATGCAAAAATTAAATACATTAAAGTCGATAAACAAATTTCACAGGAATCACTCCACACTAGTATATATAGGTTTAATGAATGTTCAGGTATATATTGTCATGAATCTCCTCAAAGCAAGATTACGAAATTTTTAAATGTAGCTAACAATTTGGTTACATCATCATCATCATTTATTAATCCAAATTTCTCTTCGCATAAGTGAAATTCTTCACATTATTAAAATACTTTTTAGTGTGTCAGAAAAGGAAAAGTTTCCCAATAATGCAAAGAAAAGTAATAAACAGGCTGGAACTTGCACATCAAAACTCTAGAAAACTCTAGCGGACTAAAACTAGTATTAAAAAATTCCGAAGAACAAGTTAGCTGTTCGAAGCATTTTTTTTGTTTATCATTGACCTTGTGGATTCGAAACTCGTGCGGAAATGTTAAAAGATAGGATTTGTAATAAAATTTAAATAGTACATTTCACCAAAGACTTAAACGAGAAATGTCTTAGATTAATTATTTTAAAATAACACAGTGCCGTTAAATATTTAGTAACATGTAGTTTGTTTTGAGTTTTAAACCGATAAAAGTATTCTACAAGACAATACTTTATCGTGAATTTGATTGAAGACTTCAGTATTGTCTGTTATAAACCAAATTTAAGTAGAATACCTTTAACGGTTTGAAACGTCAGAGCTGAAACAAACTCAAAAACAAGTTAATTAATATGTTTTGGTTTTAAAACCGTTAAAAGTGTTTTTTTTTATTTATTAAACCTTTAAGGTTTTATTGTAAATTATAAATGTAAATATTCTGAATTTTAATAAATGTAAATTTTATTACTGACATCTTCATATTAAAAACTATTTAACTACTTCTACAATTTCTCTTCCACAAAAATTATGGCAAACCGACGCGCTTAATTCCCGTAAAAATAAACTCAACTCGTGTAAGGTTCTCGTATGCAGCGTAAGCATGAATGCATAATTGAGTGCAATATGCAAGCATGTATGCATGTATTAGCACTCATGCATGCACGAGGACTTGACATTTCTCGCTTCGAGTGCAAGTGAGCTGTAGTTAGTAAGTTTTTGTTTTTCACCGCTTTCCATATTAGAAGGACTTAAAAGTTTCGTTTGAGTAGGAGTATTCTAGATTTTCAAGATAGTTTTAGAAAATTTATTTGTATATAAAAAAAAAAAAAATTTAAAAAAAAAAAAAAAAAAAAAAAAATTTTAATGCTGTGTAGGAAGTAGTTGGCATTTTTTAATATTTAAACGTGAATTATCCACTTCTAAGATACATTATCAATAACTAGCTGTGTCAGCGACTTCGTCCGCGTAGAATAATTATTTTGGGCATCCAAATTTGGTTTTTCAAACTACCTTTATTAATTTAAGCCGTTACCTACGAAGTCGGTCGCGTCCCGTTGTTCTTGCAAGATAACCTTAAAAGATAGACAGATATACAGTGTCGTGAACATTTTTTTTAGATCATTTTAAGAAAAAATATTCTTTAATACATATTTTTTGGGTATCTTGAACCGTTTTTGCAGCGGAAGCATCGGAAACCTACAAAGATTACATTTCGCCGTTTTTTTCTACTTTTTATCGCTGATTCTTCGCTCCTATTAGTCTCAACGGGATGTTTTATAGCCTATAGCTTTCCTCAATAAATGTTCTAACACAAACATATTTTTTCAATTAGTTCCTGAGATTAGCACGTTCAAACAAACAAATTTCCAGCTGTATATATTAGTATAGATATAGATATAGAATAGGTAACTTGTTTATAAGTTTAACGAACTATAGTTTAGGGCCACGTAAACCTATTATATAAATGAAATGCAAAACTTTGTTCATTTAATTTATATAACGTTTTTGATTTGCGTAATACGATTACGTTCATATAAAAAGCAATGTTTTAAACTTATTTATTTATCTCCTTGGGGTCAAACTTAAATTAACGTTTTTGTTAATTCCGATATTATGAATTAAAAACTTATGATTATAGTACTAGAAAACCTTTTGTAATATGAAGCTTAGCAATTTGAATAGTGACTTTCCTACCACTTTTTCTTGTTCGCTGTACGCCTTTTATATGAGAATTGATATAAAATCCCTTTATCCGCGACGGACAATGGACTTGATAACAAATACTTTCTAGAAACGTCTCTAATGATAAAAAATCGAATAAAATTAATAATAATTTTACTGTAACTATCATTAATGATTAGTATAAATATTGTTACTGAAATGCTTGATTTTTACTTCTATTTTCTAATGATAGAGGCTGCAAGCATGGGATTCACTTAACCCTATACCTATAACATCTAAAATTTTGCCTTTGAATACTCGGAAATCTACAGACTGAAACAAAAACGTCATAAAACTTTACGACTTTTTCATCTGTGGACGGTGGTTCGTGACCCGGACGAAATGTATATATTCCTACCACCTATTTAATATCCAGATTGCCAAACGAAATTTCAGAAGAATTAGAAACATGTTGGACCCGGTGAGGTCGCCCACGAGCCGTTGACCACGAGCCATACATTGCTACCACTAGACCAACGAGCTTACTCTCTGTGTCCTGGTCCTATTCCAAAACTTAATTCTTATGCAAATTAAGTATTACTAATTACCTAATCGATATTATAATGATTTCTGCTTCTGGTTTTAGCAACAAGTCCGTCGCACAATGTTGACTGAATATTCCATGAATTTTCCAATGACCTGATATCGGTTTTGCTATTGGTAAAAAAGGTCACTTAGTAAAATGTTTCGCCGAATAAATCATACAATTTCATATCGTATTCAAAGGAAAACGATTTTCGTGAAAAGCTTGTTCGCTTACTTTGTGTATGCGCCGCGTATGAAATTATTTTACAAACGTATTTAACAATACGGCATAGAACTTGTTACTGAGAGAGGAATTTTATAAGACTCATAATATACTTGTTGAAAGGAAAGGCACTTGGTATTATTGGTGGCACGTGCATAATAGCCTGTGTGTATGTATCTATTTATACTAATATATAATGCTGAAGAGTTTGTTTGTTTGTATGGTCGAACGCGCTAATCTCAGGAGCTACTGGTTCGAATTTAAAAATTATATATATATTTTGTGTTGGTTAGACCATTTATTGAGGAAGGTTATAAGCTTTTAAATAAAACACTTTAACGGTTTAAAACGCGATATATTAGTTAAACTTATTTGACGTGACCACGGCTGCTGCAAGCATCGGGCCGAAGTTAAAAATCATTTCCAAATAAGTTTAACTAATATATCGTTTTAAACCGTTAAAGTGTTTTATTTAAATGTGTACTACTCGCGTAAACTATAGACAGTATTTAGGTTATAAGCTATAAAACATATCGCTGTGACTAATAGGAGCGAAGAATCAGCGATAATTCCACATCTTATCATTATAATAGGGGTAATTTATTCATCTTTGTGGGTTTCCGATGCTTCCACTGCAAAAACGGGTCAAGATACCTAAAAAAATGTATGAAGGAATAATTTCTTTTAAAGAAATCGACACAATATAGTGTCTAGATAGTGTCATTCAAATCATTCAATTAAAATCAACTCGCAAGAACGGTATTTCAAAAAGATGAAGACGTGGCTTGCAAAAACAAAAATTAATGCAAGAAGTTTCAGCAGCTAGTAATGTATACAAGTGAATATTTAAATTGGAAAAAAGTAATACCGCAGACAGAATTCGAACCAAGAAAAGTCCATTGTCTTACTTTTCGTTACCTACGCATTTTGTCGTGACTTAGAGTACCAAGAGAAACATCGATTTTCCCCTCGTTCTAAAAACCTTTTCAATATTTACAGGTAAAAAAGAAGTTATATTGTCAATTTCCTTTAATCTATCCGTTTTATTCGAAGCGTTTATCGCCAATCCACCTTATATTTGAGGAAAATACATTTTCCGCTAAGGCTTTTGATAATGGCGGTGTTAGGACGAGATCATACTGGTGATTCAAGACTACGATGATACAATCGTTAGTAGCCACCCTTAAACTTGACATACATTTAGTTTAAATTAAACACTTCAACGGTTTAAAACGCGTTATATAGACTTATTTGAAAATTATTTTAAACCACGCACGACGTTTCGGATGCTTTGCAGCAGCCGTATACCATGGCGTTTTAAATCGTTAAACTGTTTTATTTTAATATATACTACTCGCGTAAACTACAGACAGTATACAGTTCCCCGTGGGGCATGAGACACATTTCTGAGTTCGTTTTACTGATTGGTTTTCTTTACAGGCAAGTAGTTAAGGTATGTGCCCTGCCCAACCGAAACAATTTATAAGGATCCAAACCCAAGACAAAGAGTTTTATATTTTAAGCTACAGAGGCGGTAAACTATTAAATTTAGGGATATACTAATTTCTATAAATAAGCTAAAGTCTAAATCTATGTATAGTTATAGATATACCAAAATCAAATATTTTACTTATTTATAATTTTTCTGAAACACGTTGGACTTGGAAATCTGGATACTAATTCGGTGGTAGTCATATGGAAATTCCGTTCAGGTCACCACTATCCAAAGATGAAAAAGCCGTCAAGGTTAATCGCATTCGGTTTCAGCCTGTGGATTTACGAATATCCAAAGACAATCTAGTTCGATAGCACAACGTGTTTAGATGTTACACGGCTGAGGTATTATCTGTACGCCTCTATCATAAAAAAAAATATTGAACTCTGGTATCTTACATACTGCACCATTAGCTACGTCATAGATATATTTGCGTCCTTGAACGAGTTTTAACTTTCTGGTTTAGAAGTGATACTCCGATACAATTCATTAAGATCTCAAACATAATAATTCAAGCTTTACTGTTTCTCATATTGCTTTGTTGGAATTGCGACTCGTAATGTATCGGTAGTTTGCGGTCAGTTATTTGCAGTAACATATAGTAGAACCCAAAACTAATTTTGCCGGTATTAACAAGAGAATTTATTGAGCCAATGGTATATTTTCGAACACGAAAGTCATGACAACTAAGAGCTAATTTCGGATAAGTGTACTACTCTATGTAATTATTTTCTGGTAGTGTTTAATAAATATAGAAAAACAGCAAATTAAAAAAATATTTAATTATAATCAATCCTATTTCAAGTCCTATACCAGACGATGTTGTAGATTTTTTATCGATATTGTTTAGCCATTGAAGTCCCAAACTTGCTTCCTAAATCGACGTCGACAGTAGCTCAAAAGACGTAGAACAACTCGTGGGTTCGAGTTCCGCCTGTTATCAAATTTATGTTTAAATAAAACACTTTAACGGGTTAAAACGCGATATATTAGTTAAACTTATTTGAAAATGATTTTTAACTTCGGCCCGACGTTTCGGATGCTTTGCAGCAGCCGTGGTCACGGGTTTAAACCGTTAAAGTGTTTTATTTAAATGTGTACTACTCGCGTAAACTATGGAAAGTATTTAAAATTATGTTTTTTTTTTCATATATTTATAAAAAAAGCTTATTTTTCGGCATTATATGACAAATAAAACTGCTATCTTTTTCAGGTTATTCCTCCAATCTCCGGCAAACCCCGACCTCCTCTACATAATATTCTTCTGTCACACCCAGCTCACTGTCACGCTACTTCTCTGCTTTATTTTCGGGAGTAAGGTAAAACCACAACAATGAAATTTAATTTTGATTCCCGTTTAACAATTACCAAAATTGTATTATTTGTTGTCTGGTCGATATAATGTTGAAATTTCAACAAAACTAATTGCCATAAAAATTACATTATTATGTAATAGAAGTAATTCATTTAATACTTTTAATTAAAATATATAACAATTTACATGAAATATTGAGGGTAGTACTCAAACATTTGTAGATTTTTAAATAACCCGTTTAAAATAAACGATATTTATTATTAACAACATTTAGTCAAATTTGATATCACGAAATTTCGAACAGTTTTCATAAATTCATATATCTTTGTTTGTGTAACCAAATATCTTGCTAACAAAAATAAAGATTATAAATATAGATTCTGTGTTATGCATAGAGACAGTGTTGTCATGTTGCTTTTATATTTTTACGCATCAGGAGAATCTTTCGTATACGCAATAAAAATATAACCACGAGACGATACAAAGCATCAATTTTACGGTGAAGTAGGGAAAATGTCAAAACCTGTATTGTGGTTTGAGATTTATGTTCATAAATTGAACCCCCTCTTCATATAATTGACAACAATTTGTCTCTGTCGCAAAATGGTGGAGTATATACAGTTTTTGCAATATGTTCACTTTAAGATATAGTAGTATGAAGTGTTACTATATTATGACTAAACTTTGCGTTAAGCGCGAGAGCTCCAATCCCAGGGAAACAATAAATTGTTTCGGTAGGGCCGGGCACAGAAGATCGACTGCTTGCTTGTAAATGAAACCGATTAGATAAAGGGCACAAAAATGTGTTGGGCCCCGATGTGAAGGAATCACGAAATTTCATTTATATAATAATAAAACTATTCGATACATGAACTATAATGAGGAATCTTTTAGAGTAACAACTATATATCAACTGTCTTAAAAAAAAAGAAATTACTTAAATTATTTTTTAATGAAATACTTTAACGGTTTAAAACAGAGTATATATTAGTTAAACTTACTTGAAATTCCGTTTCGGATGCTTTGCAGCAGCCGTGGTCACGGGTCCCGAAACGTCGAAGTTAAAAATAATTTTCAAATCAGTTTAACTAATATATATCGCGTTTTAAACCGTTAAAGTGTTTTATTTAAATGTGCACTACTCGCGTAAACTACTCAAATTATTTTCTTAATTGTTATTATTCTCATTGTATTTTGTACCAAAACGAAATAAATCATTTTACTGAACTAAATGTCGAACGATTTGTAAAACGCAATGTTATATTAAACTAAAAGATGGTGTAGTTAACATGACTGCTTGTATATTTAATATATCTTCCTACCTCTCACCAGGCGTACATGGTGTACAAAGGTCAAGGGAAAGACGACAGAGAGAAAACTGGCAAGTTTCGCTCCAAACCTGCTGAGTCCACTTATACTATGACAACCAATAGGAGCACACGGTTCTGTGATAATATGACTGAGAGGGAGTTAGAGGTAAGACTTTACTTGAGGTGAAAATATAATTGAAGTACTTATACTTCTATTAAACATAATTCATACTATGCAATACAAAATTGCTCATTAATAGAGTATTATGTATCAAACCATTTACCAATATGCCCAAAAATGGATTTCTTTTCTAACTTAGAAGCTATATTAAAATTGGATAAGCTTTTGCAAATATATAGACCAAGACCAAATAGTTTAATTTCCAGTAGATCTATGATTCTGAAAAAATCATAAGAGACCATATACAAACAACACAAGTATATTTTCGATTATGTCACTATTTAGGAAGAGTTTCAAAAGATCTGCAAGCAGTTGGAGAAACTACGAGAACGCTGTATGCCAGTGAACACTATTCCGAGAAAAATAACAGCCATGCTAGATGCCGCTACATTGCACGAACGAAAGCCAGCGACATCTGACTCCGCTCCACTCAAATTAAACACAGTTTTCAGCGCAGTTGCAGATAGGCTGATGTGCACCGTAACACCAGCTGAAGAATCAAGCAGTAGTGGCAGAGACTTGACTTTCGACGCTCCACCTTCTTACAAGCAAAAGTTCACCCCACCTAAAAGCACTGAGAACAGCAACGCAGAACAAAGCCAAACAGACGTAACCACAGACTCACCGAAAAGAAGAACAGATGATAAAGAGGGTGTCTTCAGAATATCCGGTGAAGCGAATTGTGGAGATATTAGACCACCGGAAGTCAGTAGAAATGGTTATAAGAGTGACAAGAGTGAAGTGAGAGTGAGTCCGGGATCTGAGGTGAGGGGGGTAAGGTCGGGACATGCTAGAACTCACGCAATTGTGATAAATTTGGATGATAAGAGCCGGTTTACAGAAGAGGTAACCGTTTGAAGACTGTACTTAGATGGTGATTATTGCTGTCTGTCCTTTCCATTCCTAAAATGTGTGACAGGGCAAGACGTGTTGTTGAATATCGTTAGGATAGCACAGTATGTTACCAGTTTTAGAAAGAGCCTAGCAGCCCGAAATGAGTCTTCGCCATAGATTAAACGTTAGCATAGACGAAAGCGTTAAAATTTAAATGGATGTACTTGCAAATGATATCACTCACTTCCTTATCTTCTGTGAAATGGCTACAATGATAGTATACTCTCATAAAAAATGACGTTCGATTTTCATTTGCAGAAGCGTTTTATTCCTATATTTTTATAGCTGTTGCTAAGTGTAGCTCGGTATTTTCAAAGAATAAAACGAGCATAAATCAAGGGCATAAAAAAGTTAAAGCAAAATGTTATAATTTGTTTCATATTACTTAAATAAAACACTTATAACGGTTTCACCGTGAAATTTATTATTTAATTTATTTACAATTTATTTTAACTACTACTTTGCAGCTGCCGTTGTCACAGCGGGCCTGAAGATGGGGTTGTACCTAATGTTAAAGTCATATCTGCTACGCTAGCTCCATCTGTTTTATCAGGCGTAGTTAAAATTAAAAAAAAAGTTAATGCATTTCGCTTTTTAAAATGTTATAAGTGTTTTATTAAAATGTTTCATATAGTTTAATTATGCTAGTCTTATCTGTGATTCATTGTCGTGGATATTAGTTTTTACTGTAAATAAAATTAGCTATATTTTAATATGCATATCAAATTTTAGCATTCCTTTTAATGTATGAAAACTGTGTATATAATTTGTTGTATTTAAAAAGACAGTATTATAAATGTTCTAAAGTATTTAAAAACGATAATTAATGTAAATATTAAATAGTGATTATATGTAATTTATTTTTGCTGGATTCTTGTATCTGTGGTAGTTTGAACGTTGTTAGTAAAAAGAAATAATAGGATATAATTTTACATTTATTTTAAATCCCTTCTACGCAAAATTGATAAGCAATTTAATTGTTCGATTGATGGATGAGGTAGGTTTTAGAGCGCAGCCGTTTTTCGGCAAATTATAACCACAAATCATATCTATAGCAACAGTGATTGAGTTACATCAATGTAGGTAAACAAGTTTATATTTTTGTTGATTGATCTTCGTTCTAGATCACACAGGAGACTTAACAGTCGTCACTAAAATACCAATTTGCCGTTATACCAACGATTGTCGCCTTGAAATCCCAAGTGAGGCGAAACCTCATTCTCAGCAGAATTTAAAATTTAACGCCTACTCGAGTCGGCGTGGTATTTAGAAAATCAGCGTCGTTCATAAGTGCCACTTGGTTTCATCAACTCGCATTTCCAAGTGTTTCCCTCGGAATTTTCAGGGAAATCGGTCTGTGTTAGTTAAATGATTTCGAATTTTTCTTACGTCTTCCGGCTAGACGCTTAAGTTTAAGTCACATTTGTAACTGAGACTTTTTTTTAATAGATAACCAGAAGTTTCACTAAAAAATCTTAAGTGCTAATGTGGCTTTTACTTTGTTTTTGAACCTTTATCAATAAAACACAGAAGTTATAAACTAAAAAATGCAACCAAGGACTAGGATATTTTATTCAACTCCAAAGTTTTTTCCATAATAATCATACATACCCTGGTAAGTTTAAAGTATTTTATTTAGCAAGTTTAAGAACCGAGTGGAATTTTCCGAAGCTTTTTCTCATAAAAAAAAACAAATGTGCACAAAACTAAAAGTAATTACTGCAAATAAAACCATTCAAATAAGAGTTTGCTTTTGCAGTCTCAGCTATCTGGATAAATATTAAGCTATACAGAGTAGTGCCAAGAATATCAACGTAATTACATAAAGGCACTCAAAAGCACTCTCCATGTGTACAGTTCCCGGAAAAGTCATTAAGTAATTAAAACGACATTTTATATTAATCTATTTTAAAATGGCTACTTGAAATTTCATTAATATTGGTCTTCAACATGTTCCGAAAAAATTGGCGTCCTTTATTAAAAATGTATTTAAAAAAACGCAACAGCTCTCTTTCAATCTTATATGTAATCAATGTCTAAAACAAAACAATAAATAATTCTGATATTTTAACCTATTAGATTACACAATCAAGCACAGTTATAAGATCTATGATAATTCATTCTTATCAATAAACGAACCCTATCTATAAAATATATAAATATAAGCAATGAAAGACATCTAGTGATATCTGTAACGCGTTATAAAATTAGGATAATAATCTCGAAATGTTTCACAGCTTGTGAAGTTTGTGGTGTGAGACTCGGGGACTGTTTCTTAAGAAACATTTAATTAATTAAGAGGCAGAAATTATCAATCTACCTATCCTGTTCTATCTCACTACAACCACAGTCTCTTTCTATCTTGTTAGCACATCTACTAAAGCGAGAACTCTTTGCAAGTGGAATAGGGAAGTACCTTGTGCTAAACGGGCATTTTAGTTTGAATATTTCATTATAGTTATATTTAAATTTAACAATTGTTTCTTTTGACTTAAAATGCTTTTCTGTTCACTTGAGTTTTGCGCCACGAACTAGTAATCGCAAACTTGTAATATAATGTGAATATGTACATATATATTGTGTAGGTTCACGAAAGTATGCTAAAACATTAATATGCCATAGCTGTAATACAACGAAACAGGAGTACTGTTTCATATTTTAGTTCTATAAAAATATCTGACACTTAAAACTGCTATACCTATTGTTTTGCCAACTATTGTACTATATAATTTAAAAATCGAAACTAAATTGAAAAAAAATTCGACTTGATTTTTAAATTATATAGTGCCTTCATGTGCAATAACACGTAAAAAATAATAAAGTTCCATATTTAAAATGTTATTTCTTCTTCTTATGATACACTTGCTAAGATTAAAAAAATATATATTAAACACTCATTAAATTGATACAAACTTTACATTAAATAAAATCGTATAAAAGATGTACTAACCACATATCCTAACAATAGACCTTTTTATTCTACCTAATATTGGATTTATTATCTCCCAGATATATCTAAAAATATTTTTTAATAGCTTTACAAAGAATATGAGCTCTATTAACGTAATGACTCCTTCAGACGAAAGCGAGCTTTTCCATAATACCCTATTATTTAGGGATTATTTTCTTTGTGTTGCAATGTGAGGCACACGGTGTGCAAAAAAAATCTTTTTTAATTTTTTGTGGAATGTTTTGCTAACCAACGTTGTAACCTGATAGCAGGCATTATTTGGATAATAACTCTTCTGATAATACAAGGAAGAAAAGAACACAGCCGGAACTCAAACCCATAATAGAATACGATATACGGAAAGCTATCTTAGGAAATGTCTTTAATATTTTTAACTTGTCCAGTTCCATATGAGCGAAGTATTTGAGAGATATAAAGCTAGCTATTTTAGTTAATTCTTCTCAAAATCACGACAATTTTTTATATCGATTGTTACGTCTGTAATCTGATATAGTATAAGAAAAATGACAGTTGGATAGTTTTCGCTATTTTTGTGTCAAATCGAGAAGTCTCCAATAAGATGATGATTCGCTATTAATTACTAACCCGTATTTAAATTCAAATCTCTTACGATTAAAATATTTCTTTATATTGTTATTAAGATATTTTTTTATGGAAATCCATCGTTACGAAACATCAGTCCGGCCACTCAGTCACAATAATATACCTATAGCAAATTATATAAATGGCGATTACGCTTTAAAATTCGATATATTTTAATTAAACTTAATTGAAAATTATTTTAACTACGGCCCGACATTTAGGATGTTTTGCAGCAGCCGTGGTCACCAGGAACCGTCGGGCCGTTGTTAAGTTTAACGAATATATATCGCGTTTCAAACCGTTAAAGTATTTTATTTAAATGTGTACTACTCACGTAAACTACAGCCGGCATAGCACTTTAGATAACTTTAAACCATTTCTATTGGACGTCCCAGAATGCACACGTATCTTTTCTTAACAACATATATGTATTAACATGTTAAGAGCATAAAATGCTGCTTCCATCTTCAACTGGGTCTTTTCGTTGCCATATCTAAGTGTCTCATGGTCTTCGGAAGCGTCAAGCGTTGCACACGTTTACAGTTCTCATTCAAAGGACGACTCCAAGATTAGTTTATAAGGTTAATTAATCTTATTACAATATGTATTACGCACTACTTTTAATATACATATACATACCATTGCTTTTTTTTAGATAAAACAGAGCCCAGTTTTATTATAATACTCATAAAAACTTGATTGATAATTTTATAGTGTAAGAAAAATAGTTATAGTAAACATCAGTATTAGATAAACGGTTTTTTTTTGTAAATAGTACATTTGTATCTACTTACGTTCTTTATGTTAAGTAAAATATTACTAAAAAACGTTTATAGTCTTTGTGATAAAACCAAATATGTTAAATAAAAAAAAATATATGTACAAAGTTCTCTCCATAGCATGAAGCATAGCATGATATTATAATTGTTTATGTATAAGATCATGTTTAAACGCAACTAAAGAATATTGTAGAGTGATTGAAAATGTATGAAGTTTATAGTTATAAAATATCGTATGAAAAATTGTAAATTATGTTCTCATTGTATGCGCATATTATGTAAAAGAATTTGGACTGTGTTCTGAATTAAATAATTAAATGTTTTTTAACACTTATATACTTTTATTGCTAAGAAAAGAACGACCTACTGAATGTTGATACCTTATTTCCGATCAAAACTTACTTTCGAGGAACATAAGGCAGCCATTGGTCGCCAGTTCGATTCTTGACACAATACCAAAAATGTTGATCAATGTCTTCCGACCCGATTTGAAACCGTATGATTAAGACCTACTTCTTAAAGCCCCACTTGTAGGAATTGTTGAATAAATTATGACATCACATTAATAACAGAAGCAGATGAACCTAGCGTAGCAGAGTTCAATCTTTTAGTCCCCCTGTGACCACGTCTGC